CTTCCAAGCCAATATTAATATTTTTGATCACTTTTTAAAAATAAGGCTATCGGTATTGATTTAGACTAGAATAGTCTTTGCAATATTGAAATTTGTATGTTGAAATAATTTACAAAAATAAATGATTTTTAATGAAAAAAAGATTTTAAATGTTATTAAAATGTAAACTTTGAAATATAACATTACAAATTCAAAAATCATTGAAATCAGTAAAGTTTACGCTTAAAAAAGTATGAAATATATTTTTATATATTTTTATATAAATATCTCAGAAATTAAAATCAACTAGCAGTAATATGTATCTATATAAGAAGATTGATTAGAATAATAATTTAACAATATACTTTTTAAGATCATTGAAATCGAGTTTGTCTTTCTTTCGAATAATTACTTTTATTTTTTCTATAGTTTCAATCGAATTATGTACATCTATTACTATTATTATTAGATATTATTATTGTTGCTATTGTCATTATTACTATTATATAAAATATAAAATATAAAAATACGATATCTAACAAAAATTTTTTGGTTGCAGTAACTTGAAACATAATACGATAATGTATAACATATGTATAATAAAATTAATAAAATTGCGATAAAAGTTGGTAAACTTATATTGTTTTCGAAAAGCACTAATTCTTGATCGACATGAAATTTTTAACGAATAAAAGCATTAGGAGAATGTTTCCTAATGTTTGTATACAAGCAGAATTCAATCTATTATACCGAAAGTTTTTCATTAATATCTCGGGAACTAATAAACTTGAAATTAAAATTTCATATTTGGAGTCCTCCCTCTCCTTCCAAATCTCTCCAGTCCTACAAAATTTCATGTTGATCTGGAACTTTTCTAAACAATATCAACAAATATTCTTTAACTAATTAACTTATTCTCAATCTTCATAATCTATATTTTAATATCTTTTTACTTTTTTATGTTTGCTGAAGATTAATAAATACATTTCCTAAATGAAATGAAAATTTCTATTCCATATATGATAATCGAGTAATTAAATTTAATTTATTATTTAATATCTAATTTAATATGTATTTAACTTGAAAAGAAAAAATATATTTATATTATTACATAAAAAATATCGCACTTATTTATATAGAATCGTACTGACATTTATGAGATTGTGTAGTATAGTGAATGTACAAGATGTGTGTTATGTGTAGTGTGTAATAACATGTATCTAGTGATTTGACTTCCTAGTTCCCAGGCAAGAAAGTACCTATGAACTGTGAATATACACACTGTCGAATATCACTGAATATCAAACATGTATTTAAGTATAAAGAAAGTTCCACGATTTGTACATTCTGATATTTTGAAATATCGAAACGTAAGTTAAAAACATATTCTATAAGATTTAAAACATTGTAACATAGTTCCTAATTTTACTTTTTGTGGTTATCATACTTGTCTTAACCTATTTTCATATTAGAATTAATATATATGTATTTATCACAACAAAATAAATCATTAAATTATGCCAATAATAAAAAAGGAGATATTAAATCGAACTTATTAATGTTCAAGTAATATACTCCCAAGCATCTTTCTCTTTTCAATCAGTACATGTTAATTATGTTTCAGATCAGATGCTACTGTAAAAAAATGGAAGATGATACAAAAATTCCTATAAATCCATTGAAAAAATTCTACAGTGCAAACGATCAACCTACTAATGGTTTTATATATGACAATAAACCTTTCAAATTTACTTGCATTGCTGGAAAAATATATCAATGGTGCTTATGTGGTAGAAGTCATAGACAACCATTTTGCGACGGTACTCACAGGAATCAATATCTTAAAATCAAGCACAGACCTATACGTTTTACTGTTGAAGAAACCAAAGATTATTGGCTGTGCAATTGCAAACAAACATCAAATCGACCATTTTGCGATGGTACACATCTGAGAGAAGATATCCAAGAAAAAAAATAGTATAGATGTATATAATAATAAATCAGGTTTTAATAAAGACTTCTTGTTTAATACAATTTTTGTTATGAAAAATATATTATCTTATTTTGTTAAATTCTTGGTTAATTCTTAATTTTTTGAAGATCCCAATACAATAAAATAGTTATACATATATATAGCAATAAATTAGTTTTTAGTGAAAATACTTTTTGTTTAATTTTAACTGTGAAAGAAATATTTTATTTTGTTTTCTGCTAATTTTTAATTTTTCTAATAGATACAATTAGATTCTAATAAGATTCTAATAGATACAATTAATTAATGATCGATTATTGATAGATCGATTGATAAAAAATCGATTAAAATTCAAGAATGATTCCTTGTAAAAAAAAATAATGATTGAAAGAAATTATTACGTTTTTATTCAAAAATGCAAACTATTATTCTTTTTAATATTACAACACCTCTGTATAATGTGTAATGATATAATATTATATAATATCTCTAATATAAAATCAAATTATTTGATTAGTCAATCAAATCTAATTTGATTAATTCGTACGATCCAAATTTTATCGTATTCTCTTTCAAATGCAGTAAATAAATAAAAAAAAATTTAATTCTTTCAATTGAACTTGCTGCAGTGTTTCTTTCAATAAACAAAAGTTTACTGTAAGCGAGGCTAACTTCAGTCAGATGATTAAACTTATTGCGTGATGTATACATGCAACGACTTTTATAACAAATAAAGATTATATTATAAATTTACTAAATCAAATATCCATAAAAAGTGCTTAGACAATTGAAACAATTTTTGTTAGTTTTTTAATATTTGGCAATTCTCTATCATGAAATCTGCGTAAGTTTTTGATATTTTACTTTCATTTCATTTCTGTTATATACATTCTTCCATTTATTTTATTATTTCAATTTCGATTTTACAAACCGTTTATAATAGCAAATAATAAATAATAGCAACGATAAATAGGCAATTATAAATAATATAAATAACCGATAAATAATAGCAACGTCTAATAGGCAATTCTTATTACTTCGTCTGAATTAGAAATTCAAAACCACCTGTTGTACGAAAACACGGAAACCGACCAAAATGTGATAATGATGCAGCTAAAGAACCTGTTAAAGTTTTCTGCCGTCTGAGACCAATGGTTTGTCCCAACGATGTATCTTGTATGAAAATTATTTCTAACACAAGCTTGATTATTACACCATCAGAATCAGTAAATGGTCGTAATGTAAATAAAGCTATTCAAACGTGTTTTAGTCACGTTTTTGGTCCAAATACTTCTCAAAGAGAAGTATTTGAAATAGTAGCACTGCCACTTGTTAAGAATCTTATTAATGGTAAAAACAGCTTACTTTTCACATATGGAGTAACTGGAAGTGGCAAAACTTACACTATGTCTGGAAATCTGTATGATGCAGGAATCATGCTTCGTAGTTTAAATGTTCTTTTCAATAGCATAGCAAGTTACCAAACAAAGAAATTTATTTTTAAACCCGACAAGCTAAACAGCTTTGACATACAAAGTGAAGCTGATTCACTATTAGATAGGCAAAATGAACTTCAGAAATTTGTTGCTCCTTGCAATGGAAAAACTCCTAGACAGTAAGTTTTAGTTTTGAAATTTGATATGTTCTGTTACATTTATATGAAATTTTACTTTTCTATGTGCTTTTTTAGATATAAAGAAGATGATAAGAATGATAAGAATGATAAGAATGAAAATAATTTAAGTAATAAGTCCGAGACATTAGATGTTGATGAAGATAATGCTTATGCAGTTTTTGTAACATATATAGAAGTCTATAACAATAGCGTATATGATTTGTTGGAAGAAAATGAAGGGAAAACAAAGTAAATCAAAATTTTTAAAATAGTTAATATTTTGTCAATTTACTAAAAATTGATTAAAAATTTCCAAAATAATTTAGGTCTTTACAGAGCAAAATTATTCGTGAAGATGGAAATAAAAATATGTATGTTCATGGATGTACAGAAATAGAAATAAAGAGCTCGGAAGAAGCATTTGAAATATTCCAACGTGGCCAGAATAGAAGGCATATTGCACATACTAATCTTAATGCAGAGTCAAGCAGATCTCACAGTGTTTTTACTATAAGGCTTGTTCAGGTATAAATCTAATTATTCTATAATTATGACTTGAAATTTTAATATTACTGTCTTAACAGGCACCATTAGATAAGGAAGGTGAACAAATTGTTCAAAATAAACGAGTAATTTGCATTAGCCAATTGTCTTTAGTAGATTTGGCTGGAAGTGAACGTACAAACCGTTCAAAAAACACTGGACAAAGACTTAGAGAAGCAGGTAATTTATCAAAATATTATACCATTGTTTTCATATGCTTATATTGTTCACATTTGTTAAAATAGGAAGTATAAATAATTCGTTAATGACATTACGAACTTGTTTGGAAATACTTCGTGAAAATCAGACTCAAGGTACAAATAAAATAGTCCCTTATCGAGATTCTAAAATAACTCATTTATTTAAGAATTACTTTGATGGTGAAGGAAATGTTAGAATGATCATTTGTGTGAATCCTAGTATTGATGATTATGATGAAACTATTGTAAGTATTTTTTAAAGTCAAATAATATTGAGAATATAGTTCCTATGTAATAATTTTAATTTTTTCTCATATAGCAAGTATTAAAGTTTGCTGAAATTAGTCAAGAAATACAAATTACAAATTCGACAACTTCAAAATTAGATTTAGGATATACTCCCGGTAGAAGACAAGCTAACAAAGTATGAAAATAAAAATATATATGTCATAATACATGAAAATGATTTTTTGTACATGTTTAATTATTGACATTATTTTTTTATAGTTATTTAAAGAAGCAAGAAATAGATTAGAAAGTGCTGGTAATCCAGCTGCTGCTGATTTAGAAGTTGATTTAGGTCTAGTGTATAGGTAAATTGATATTGCTTTTGCTCATTAAAAATAACTGATAATAATAATAAAGAAATTGTGTGATAAATTTGTTTTTAGTCTTGGCGGTCCATTTCCAGAAATGGATATGACAAGTCCGCATAATGATGAATTAATTGCTACGCTCATACGTTTTTTAGAATTGCGTATTCAAAAGAGGAATATTTTACAAGAAGATCTAAAACAAAAACGTAATTCTTAAATATATCAGTTAAAAAATATTTTGTCAAAATTTATATATTAATCAAAGTTTATTTTTTAGAAACGAACTTTAGGAACATGCTAGTAAAAATGGAACGAGAAAATGTATCTTTAAAAATTGAAAACTGTACATTGAAAACATCAAACAATCAACAACAGAAAAAGGTAAGTTTTTATGCTAAAGACTTAAATATTATAATTATTGATGCAAAATTTTTACAGATTTCTGCTTTGGAAGCTCATATTTGTAAAACAGAAGCTCAAATTGATACACTACTATACAGATTGAATAATGCAAATGATATAATCAGACATATGAAGCAAGAAGTAACTTTCTTTTTTATTTTATTTTATATTAATTTTATTTTATTTAATATTAATATTTTATTGAGTAAAACTTATTTTTAACGAATAAAACTTTGCAGTTACAAAACAAAGATATGTTATTGAATCAACAGACAATAGAGAAACAAAGAGTAAAAGAAAAATATAATAATAAAATTCAAACAGAAACTGACAGAATAAGCAAAGAACTGGAAAGCAAACTTCGTAGACAACGTGAACTTCTTCAGGTATACTACAACTGTTGGCTGTATATACATTATATATTTACTTTATCTAATTATCTTTATCTTTATCTAATTATTTGTTTAGAATCAAATGAAAGAAAAAGAAAACAAACTGAAATTAGTGAAACAAATACTAGTAAATGATAATGAAATAGATACAAATGATAGATCAGAATCCAAGGAAGCAATTGAAGTTCAACAAGGCGAAGTTGAAATGCCTATAACATCAAAAATTATTGCAACTACTCCAAACACTGTCCCAGAAAGTACAAAAACGACTATAAAAACTATTTCTACAATTAAATTTGAAGATAGTGATACTCGACCAAGTAGAAAAGTAAATGCAATAATTAGTATAATTTTAAACTATATACGTATTTAGAATTAATTAATAGAATTATACTATCTTTAATCACATTTAGGATAGGATTCCAGTAGTGAATCTACGCTACAGACGATCTCAGAGTGCAGATAGATGGATTGATCATCGACCTCCTGGATTAGTTCCGGTTGGCACTATTCTTCAACCAGTTATTCGAAATAAACGAAGCATCACACAATTGACAGATCCAAAATATATAACAAATAAAGCATCCAGATATTGTCTTATTGCACAGGAACAAGACACAGATGGTGAACTTGAAACTAAATTATACAAGGTAGTATTAATATTTCCAAAATACATTTCGATAGAAAAATAATATAATTCTTAAATAATAGGGAGATATATTACCAACTAGTGGAGGAGGTGCTCAAGTAGTATTTAATGATATGGAACATTTAAAACAAGTTTCGCCTGTTGCAAGAAGGAAACGCAGCGGTTATTTGAGCCCAGGAAATAATTCCACTTCTCAAGAAAATTGTGGTTTAGAAGAAAATAATTCAAAAAAAATCCGTATATAATTTATTTAAAAAATCTTTGACGTTATTGTTTTATAGAGAATATATAAAAACCAAAGACACGAAGAAATGAAATTTTCTTCGATTTTATATGCAATAACTAAAAATACAAATTAATTTAAAATATATAATTATCTAGTATATTTTTCTTTTATTTAATAATAAAATATATATCATCTGTTAATAACTTTCTTCAGATATAAAAAATATTTGCTTTTAGTTTAAAGTATAAGTCATTATAAAGTCATATTATTACAACAAATATCTTTTACTTAAAAATGAGTTATCTAGAGCATATTATAAAATGAAATTCAACGTTCTTTTTCCTAATACTTTTTTTATTTATAATTTTTTATTGTATTAAATGTCCATTTATTTCCCGTGGCTTATACAACACAGACTCTGTGAAATAGATACAAATACAAACGTTAGAATAACAGAAGCCTGAATATGTACTACCAACAGCGAAGTAATAAACATATACATTGTTTCTACATAGTGCAAATTGGAAAAATTTAAATTAGAAAATAAGTAAGTCTTTGTAATTTATTTAAACAAGCTTATAAATCTATATGCTTCAAGATAATCGAACAAAATTTACGTACAAATCTTAAAACTGTTTTCGGATTTATAAGTCAATAGTAAAAAAAAAGAAAAAAAAAAATAAATATATGAAAAATTTGTTATTATTTAGTAATAAATTGTAATTAACAAAACAATTTATATTTTTTTTTATAGAATCTATAGTATTACAGAAATTGAGCGTATTTTTATAACTGTAATAACTGTTCTTTTGTAACACACCTTTGTTAGCAATATGCATTTTCATTTACTTTTGTTGTTCTTCCAATATGTTGGCAATGTATAAAATCATATAAAGTATCGAGACTAGATGAATACCTTAATTAGTAAAGTAATTAGTTGTTATATTATGATCAGTTTTAACAAATTATAAAAAATCGATTATTAGATTATTTAAGGATAGAGTATTATGCAATGGTACATTGTCCTTTTTGCTTTTACATAACACAATGATATGTGATCTTAAAATATAATTAATAAAATTTTTTATTATATAAGTTTATTGATTAAAAAAGTGAAACTGCATTATTAAGTTACCTTGCAAATATTAAGCAAGATGATCTTGTGCTGATAATTATACCGAAGCTTGACGCATTCAGAATCGAATACTACAAAGAAACATATTACTTCATGTACTGTCCAAAAATAAAAACATTTTCAACAAATTAATTTTAGATAATTTAAAAAAAAACGAGCATAGTTAAATATAATATATTGTTTTCATGAATGAAATAATAAATGCGTTCCATTCTTAATGCGTCAAAAAAATATATTCCATATGTACTTCTTCACTTCATTTTTCTAATAAACTCATCGGCTAAATTTGAGCACTTTACAAATTAAAGGACACATGTATCACGCATAATAGGTACTTCGTTTTGTTACCTGTAAATGTACTTCATGAACTAAACGAATCGATAGTCTTAACATCAATTCGCGGTAACTGAAATGACCAACAAGGTAACATTTACAGACTTTAACTTCTACTATCTTTTTTTTGAAGTTTCAAGCTCTTACTATAATATCTTCTGCGCATATAATATATTAATTAATTAATTCTCTCTCT